CCTGGGGGCGGGACGGGCGGGGGTCAGGCAGGGGGGCGGAGGCCTGGGAGGCACCGGGCTGCTGCCGCCGCCGGAGCCTTTCTTCTTCCCTCGTCCACCCGGAGAATTCATTCACAGCTCCCACTGCCGCCGCCGCCATAACCCGCCTCCCGCAGACCGACGGCGACCAAGCGACGGCGGCGGCCACTGGGACGGCGAGGGCCACAGACGCCCGCGCGCCCGCCGGTCCCAGGAGCTCGGCACCTCCACGCGCTGCTCGCAGGCTCCGCCCCTTTCTCCGCGCTCGGCCAAGAGCACAACCCCTTTCCTCCTCCAGCGGTCGGTAGCTCCTGCCCCTCCCTCTCGGTGTCCTCTCAGCCTCCTGGTAGCTCCGAGCGGTGACCGCGCACGCGCACGCACACCCATGTCTTTCTCCGGCGCGCGCGCGCACGCCGCCGTCTTTGTTGACCCGAGCTCCTACTGCGCGTGTGCAGTTCCCGCCCTTTGGGCCCTTCCCAGGGGGACTACTGTTCCCAAGGTACAGTTCGGCTACGTTGTCCTCAGGGACTGGTCGCTATACTGACAACGCTGTCCCCGGCAACTGCTTAGCAGGGAACCTTGGTCATCAACTCCTCAACGCAGCGGGTACAGCTGCGGCTTGGGGTCGTTCTGCTAGTTCGCAGGGCTCCTATCTCGCACTGTCATCGTTTTCTTATATTTCTTTCAGCATTTTCTGCCAGTCTTCCGCAAGGGATGGTTCACCTGTGTTCCATCTCAAAAGTAATGGGTACCATGAAAACACTCTCAGTGTCCATCTATAGGAAAATGATTAAATGAATTTTGGAATACCTATATGTAATTCCGTGGACCATTTAAAAAGAATGAGGTGGACCTATATGTACTGATAAAGGAAGGTGTCCAGGATATATTGTTAAGTGAAAATAGGAAATTACCGATCGGTGTGGTATGATTCTATTTTGTATTAAAAAGAAAAAAAAAAGTAAGGGTACCAATCTGGGAATTATTATCTGAGAAAGAAGCAATTGTAGAGACGTATAAACTCAAGGTCACCGAAAACAAAAATGTTAGCTCACTGGAATGAAGTGAACGATTCTAGAGGTTTAATTAGTATGTGTTTAGATGTCTATTTTGAAGAATTAATTCGTTTGAATAGGGACATTCCTAGGTTTTGCACAGTAATCACCCCACAGCTTACTAAAGAGTCCAGACTGGGCCTTTTTTTTTTTTTTTTTTTTAATCTACTGGATGTCCCTTCCTTTGGGGAACTACCTACCCACTTCTGCTGCCTGTATTCCAATGAGCTGCAAGCACTGAACCCAACCTCCCAGATCACAGAAGTGGAAACATGAGGTTAATATACTCTCCTAGAAACTGGAATCTTGGATGGACACACTGGGATAAAAGATAGTAGGAACTGAGTTGCTCTAAAGAGCTAGTCTATCAGTTCATCTCATTGAGATCCCCAGAGCTGCCAGTCTCCTGGACTGGTCACTTGATAGTGTAACCTATCCAATAAACTATTCAGCCTGTATCTCTATTTCTCTGTTTCTCTCTCTCCCTTTCTCCATCTATTTCTCTTTTGTTTCCTCTCTTTTTCTTTTTACTTGGGTTAGCCATAGTTGTTTCTTGTTGCCTAAAATTAAGGAATCCTAACTGATAAAGTCCCCATTGTTGACAGAGTGAGGTTTATAAATGCTTCATGCCAGCTTCCAAGAATCTGGCTTGGAAAAATTTTGTCTAATTTTCTCCCACCACTACCTCCCTACAAACATAGGTTATTGCAAAAATGACTTACCCCCTGTTTCGCTCCAACTGCTCCCCAACCCTTTGCCTGCCTCTGTGCTTCTGCCAATTCCTCATTCTGAAATGTCCTTTCCTTCATATTTGATTAATTTCCATTCCTGACTTTTCTCTTTTGAACACCATAGTACTTTTGTTGTAATGTGAAATCCCTTATATTTATACATATATCATGCAAAGAAGATATGTGTAACTTATATGTACAAAGAATAATAATGAAACAAACAGCATCCAGTTTAAGAAAAACTAATGTGACCTGTTCCTTGAAGCACTTTGTGAGCCCCTCCCTAATCTCAATCTCCCCCTTTCCAGGAAGCTGCTGTCCAAAATTTTGTACTCATTGTTCCTTTGCCTTTCATTTTAGTTTTGCAATGTCTGTATGTATTTCTATACAATATATTGTATAGTTTTGCCTGGTTTTGACCTTATACAAATGCAACCATACCACATGTATTCTTAATTACCAGTTTTCTGCTCAATAGTTAAGTGTTTGTGATAACTCCTTGTTGATTTGTATAGGTATAGTACATTTATTTTCACTGCTATGTGGTTTTCCACTATATGAATTTACAACAATTTATTTTACCATTCAACTGTTGATGGTGCCAGTTTTGTTTTTGTTTTTCCTTAAACAACTTTTTAACTTGCCAAGACATGGCATACAGTAGAGTGGATCTGGAGTCAGATTGGTTGCATTTAAATCCCTGCTCCACCACTTTCTATGATCTTGGACTAGTGAGTGACTCAGCTTTCACATCTATTACATAATAACAGATTAGTGCCTGGAATGAAGTTGCTGCTTGATAAGTTGTTGAATGAAGAATGGTTCTCTCACATCTACATATATACTATAATCCACTAAAATGAATTACTAGCAAGTTTCCAAACATTCATTGCTCTTTCCTAGGACCACAGTTCTCCTTGTGTCATTTTTCTTTCCTTTAGAATTGCTTCTCCTCCTACTTCCACTGTCAAAATCTCTCATGGCTTAACCATAATGTTATCTTCTTTTCTTAAATATTTATTTATTTTGAGGAGGGAGGGGCAGAGAGAGAGGGAGAGACTGAGTCCCAAGCAGGTTCCATGCTATCAGCACAGAGCCCCACTTGGGACTTGATCCCACAAACCTTGAGATCATGACCTGAGCTGAAACCAAGAGTCAAATGCTTAACCGACTGTGCCACCCAGACACCCCTGTAATGTTATCTTTTCAGTAAATCCTTCCCTTATCACCTGCAGCAGAAATGATTCTATTTTTTAATTCTTATGACAATTTGGTTGTGTTATTCTATGACTCTTCTAATATATTGCCTTGTGTGACAGTTATTTAAATGCTTTGTCACCTCCTGGTATAGATGATAAACTTATTTCAAGGCAGTGGCCAAACCTTACCCATTTTGGCTTACTTTCTGCACCTAGCCTGATGCCTTGCTTATAGTACTCACTTAATAAATACCAACAATTTGAGGGGCACCTGCGTGGCTCAGTCAGACTTCAGCTCATGTCATGATCTCACGGTTCGTGGGTTTGAGCCCCACATCAGGCTCTGCACTGACAGCTCGGAGCCTGGAGCCTGCTTCCAATTCTGTGTCTTCTGCTCTCTCTCTGTCTCTCCTCTGCTTGTGCACACTCTCTCTGTCTCTCAATAAACATTTTTTAAAAATTAAAAAAAATCAATAATTCGAAAAACAATTCAAACAGGTAATTGTTGTAAATGTCTGTTGCTGTGTAATAAACCACTCCAAAAATCTACTGGCTTAAGATTACAGCCATTTATTTACTCATGATTTTGTGGATGAGCAATTTGGGCTGAGTTTAGCAGGCAATTCTTTTGGCCTTGCCTTGCCTGAGGTCATTCATGTAGATGTTAGTCATCTGATGGCTTGATTGAGCCTGGGTGGCCTAACTATCCTCACTCATGTGCCCAAATGGCAGTGGTAGCTGTTGGCTCGGGTATGTGTCTCCAGCAGTATATTCCAGACTTCTTTACATAGCATCTGACTTCAAGAGAGCATGTGTGGAGGGGCGCCTGGGTGACTCAGTCGGTTAAGCGTCCTAAGCTCAGGTCGTGATCCCACGGCTTGTGGGTTAGTGCCCAGCAGCATCGGGCTCTGTGTTGACAGCTCAGGGCCTACAGCCTGCTTCGGATTCTGTGTCTCCCTCTCTCTCTGCCCCTCCCCTGCACGTGCTCTCTTTCTCTCTTGAAAATAAATAAATGTTTAAAAAATTTAAAAAAATTTTTTTAAAGAGAGTATGAGTGGAAGTGCAAGTCCTCTTAAAGCCTAAACCCCACAGCTGCACATTGTCATTTCTGCTGCATTCTGTCATCAAAGCAAATTGCAAGTCCAACTCCAAAGCCAGAAATGGGAGAATAAATTCTACACTTGATGGAGGAGTGACAAATTCACACTGCTAAGGGGGAATTTCTATATGGAATTATTGTGGCCATCTTTGCAAATAATCTACCCTAGTGATTATGTGTAAAATTTCCTTTTATCTCAAGTTAAAATTTCAGCTTAAACTGTAGATGGATTACTCATCTAAGAAAGCATTTCCCAATCATTTTGCTGAATCACAAAAACCTTCTTAGTTTTAATCGTGAGGTAAATTAACACAATTTTAGGGTAACAGGAACAATAAGATGATGACTAGTACTACTGCTAATATTTATTGACTCCATATTCTGGGCTAAGCAGGTTAACTTATACTGTCTCATTCAACCATCACTATTTGAGGTAAGCATTGCTGTCTACATCTTTAAAAATAAGGAACCTGAAGCTCTAAAAGTCTGTTACTTGCCCAAACATCACATATTAAAGATACATAGTACTTCAGGGAGTTAAGGAAAATGTTTTTACATAGTCTGTTTATGTATTATTAATTATGAAATAAATATATCTTTGGCCCCTAGAGCAGGAGTGATCTTTTTTTTTCCTTGGCGTCCAGGTGTTAAGTCTCTGGCCTCTGGCCTCCCACTTGCTAGGTCTCTGCTGTTCACTTGTGCTTAATATAGACTGTGTCAATATACCTTTGCCAATTTTTTGTGTGGTAAAAATATGGGACTGAGAGTCAGAAAGACGGGTTTGGTGTTCTGGTTCTGGCAGTTATTAGCTGTGTAATGTGGAACATGTTCTTTAAGTAGTTCCTCTGTAAAATGAGTGGAATAAGAATGAAATTACAAAATGAAAGAATTCACTTAAAGCCTTCAGCATAATATCTACGATATAAGAGGTATCAATAAATTTTCTGTCTTTTACACCTACAGTGCTGTTCCAGAAATCAGACTTTCCTGGGATCTCAATTTTTAGTAAACTCTACACATCTTCTGCCTCTTGGAATTATACCCCAGTCAAATCCATTTTCTGAATTGACATCTTCCTAAATTTGTTTCAAGAAGAACAGTGCCTGGTTGTTATCCTGGCCTTATAGTCTGCCTGGACTGAAGATCCTAACCTTTTCATTTAACCTACAGTGGGACAGCCTCCCAGTTTGCAGATGGTAAGGACTTGCAGGACACTTAATCTTAAAGGGAATCTGGGCCAGTTTCACCAGGACAAAAAGGAGGAGCTGAGTACTGTGCTAACTAATCCAGGACATTTGGTCATTTTATCACTTTAACCCATTAACTTATTTACAAAGTGATTATCACCAGATAGGTTTTTTTGTTTGTTTTTTTTGGGGGGGGGGTTGGCTATTTTAGCTCTACTTCTCTTCTAAGGAACTCCTCAAACCTTCAGCTTGAGAGACACTGGATTATCAGAAGTAGGGTCCAATGACAGATATTAAGGACCACTTTTCAGAAAAGTTAAGAGAGAAACAAAACAGTAACAGTAACAGTTGGGGGATTATTATCCAATAGCTGTGTTAAGCAAAAACCTAATTGTGGGCAATTAATCATTTCTCTGTATTGAGTCCACATTGTGATGCATTTTATTCATTTACTTGTTCTACGAATAGATATTAAGCTCTGACAGCATGCCAGGCAATGAGTAAGGTACCAAGATTATAGGAGGGGGTAAAATCAGATTTATTATCTGATACAGTATCTAAAAAACTCAAGTAGCAACTAGCAACAGTGATGAAACATATACAGGAGTTCCAGGTGTGGTTGTGGTATTCAAAAATGTATGTATGGTATGAACAATGAAATTTATGAGAAATCAGAGTAGCATCCCCTTATGAAACAGGGCTGCTGTTAATCAGCCCCAGCTGATTTTTGCTTTTCGAGAATATGTGCTGTACTGGGGCACCTGGGTGGCTCAGTTGGTTAAGCGTCCAACTTCAGCTCAGGTCATGATCTCCTGGTTCATGAGTTCGAGCTTTGAGTAGGGCTCTGTGCTGACAGCTTGGAACCTGGAGCCTACTTCAGATTCTGTGTCTTCTCTCTCTCTGCCCCTCCTTTACTCATACTCTGTCTCTCTTTCTCTCTCAAAAATAAATACACATTTAAAAAAACTAAAAAAAAAAAAGAATATTGGTGTACTGTTGCCAGATTTTTAAAACATCTCAAGAGAAATGAGAATTCTCAAGTTTTATGTGAAATCTATAGCTGAGGAGATATGGGCTCAAAATTTAAAAACAAACAAACCAAAACAAAACTGAGACACCAGTTTGAGATTCTCTGTTTCACAGAGGATTTGTTCTTAGTGAAAGCGTGAGTGAGCTCATGGTTTTGAAATAGTAGTAGGTGTAAGAGTACAAATTGTTACCTAACCTGCTCAACGTGAGTTTTCAAACTGATGATGTGGAACCATAAGCAGAGGTAGCTAATACAGAATTTTAAATGAATGCCCTGAAATGGCCATCTAGATTATGAGAGAGTACATTCAATCATCACTTGGAGTACTTGGTTATAGTAATACACTCTTACATTTCTGTATTTATGGTGGGCAGGGCATGTTTAGCGCACATGAAAAGCAGGGTAATGGGAACTGTTAGCACCAGGTGAGTGTTGGGGCACGCCAACGGAATTGTCTGTTTTCAAACCAACAGCAGTGGGTTCAGGAAGCCTTCTTTAACCTTGAGATCTTCTTCTCCACTTTGTCAGGTTAACTCATATCCTATATTCTGGTAAAGATACCT